TTTTTTTTTTTTTTTCGTGTTACTCTTATTCCAAATGCACTTACGCGACATCTTCTATGTTCCAGGCCCTGGAGTAGGGACCAGAGTTGGGTTTTTTTTGGTTTTTTGGGGGTTTTTTAAGCACATATTTTTCTTCTTCTGATTCCACTGAGCAAAGAATACACTTCCCCCTAAACAACGATCTGTGGTGTTGTGTATTTTAATTTTGCATGTCTGGCTCACCTTTATGTTGGAAGCTACTTAAAAGTCAAGACATATCTTTTCAGTTTAGTATTCCCTATTTCCAGGGAAGAGTCCCTGCCCACAAGAAATATGGCGTCTAGAAGAGACATTCAGAACACCTGGTCTGGTTATGAAGGGTGTACTAGTGGGAGACTGAGTTGAAATATTTAAAGTGCAGTGCACATGACCAGCCTAGAAGGAAGGAGGGATGTGCTCCTCCCCTTCAATGTGTTGAGCAGGGAGGGAAGTGCAGGCAGAAGAAAAATACTGAGCATAAAAACAAGGGTACATTTGGAAAACCTCAAGTCATCAGTTTAGGGAGTCTCTTCAGGAACAGAAAGACGAAAAAGTAGGTGGACACCATGTGGTGCAGGGCTCTACTTTCAAGGCTAAGAGGTTCAGCCCTATTCTTGGGTATTGGGCAGCTGCTGGAGGTTTCTGAATGGGGACATGACAGTATCAGGATGGAAATTTAAGAAGAGGAAATATCTGATAACTGTGTGAAACACTGATTAAAGATGGGTAAGGGACACTGGTTAGAAGTCCACTGCAAAAATTGAGAACAACCTCAATGTCCTTCAGAAGGAGACTAAGTATCAATAAATTATGATAGGGTTTCCCTGGTGGCACAGTGGTTGAGAGCCCGCCTGCCGATGCAGGGGACACAGGTTCGTGCCCCGGTCCGGGAAGATCCCACGTGCCGCGGAGCGGCTAGACCCATGAGCCATGGCCGCTGAGCCTGCACGTCCGGAGCCTGTGCTCCGCAACGGGAGAGGCCACAACAGTGAGAGGCCCGCGCACCGCAATAAATAAATTATGATACAGGCATCCAGTGGAGTGTTAGGTACGTGTAATAGAATGGCAGCTCTCTATGTATAGCTACAGAAATATCTCTAACATATACAATTAAGTGATAAAAGCAATGTGCAGAATAATATATGTGGTATTCCACCATTTATATAAAAACAATATATGTATATGCTTAAATATGCATAGCATATTTCTGGGAGGATTAACATGAAACTAGGGAAATAGACAAGAAACTGATGGAAGGAGAGAGGAGCTAGGTAGCTAAAAGGAGGGTTGGGGATTAATTTCTCACTGTATATGTTTTTTAAATTTGAATGCTTGAACTGTGTGCATACTATTCAAAAAGTAAAATAAAAAGATATGTTTTTAAATAAAAAGGATAAACTTATTAAAACTAATTTAAGAAGAAATAGAAAAGCCCATACAATCCTAAAACCGTTCAAAAAATTAAATCAACACTTTAAAATACTCCCCCCACCCCCCACCGTATATAATACAACTGCACCAGGCCCAGGGAATGTTTCAGGTAAGTTACTCCAAAGCAGAGAAGAGAGATATGAAATGTGAGTGTGTGTGTGTGATTTTAGCTAGGGTGGCCAGGGAAGGCCTCCATGATAAGGTGACATCTGAGCAGAGACTTGGGAAAAAGACCGCCAGCCATGTCGATATCTGAACACTGCAGAAAGAAGGAACAGCAAGTACAAAGGCCCTGAAGCAGGAACATTTATTTGGGAGTGTTCAAGAAAGAGCAAGGAGGCTAGTGTTCTCTGGAACAACAGTAGATGAAATCAGAGACATTTCAAAGGACTAGATCACACAGGGCCATTTAGGCCATTTTAAGAACTCTGAGGAAAATGAGAAGATTTGGAAATTTTTAAGCAAAGGAATGGAGTGACGTGCTCTGCCTTTTCACTTGGGGGAAAAAAAAAAATGGATCCCTACCTCAAGGCATACACAAAAAATCAATGCCAGATAGGTTAGAGACCTAAAGGAGAAAACACAATTTTTAAAACTGCCAGAAGAAAATGGAAGAATATCATTATGATCTCAAGTCATAAAAAGCAGTTCACAAAAAAGCATAAAGATTCAACAACATTAACGTTTTAAAACTTCTGCTTATGAAAAGAAATAATAAAGCGAAAAGATAAGTCACAAACAAAACGAGCTAAGAAAATCAATATGGATGAATTTCACCAAGGATACTGAGAAACGAAAAAAGCAAGCCACATAAAATTACCTGTTGTGAGATTCTATTCAGATAAAGTTAAAATATGCAGAATAAATGACATTTTTTAGGAGACCAAAGATATATAAACTATTAAGAAACGTAAGAGCATCATATACACAAATTTCAGGACAGTATTTACCTCTGGTGGGGGGATAAAGAAGGATACAGTAGGAGAGGAATACAAGATTATAAATAATGCCATATTTAATGAATGGCTATTTTTTTGAATATTATTTTATTTTATGTATTTATTTTTTATTTTTCGGCCACACTGCGCAGCATGTGGGATCTTAGTTCCCCGACCAGGGATAGAACCCGGGCCCCCTGCATTGGAAGTGTGGAGTTTTAACCACTGGACCACCAGGGAATTCCCTAATGAAAGACTCTTGGTATACTGGCTATGTATTCACTCCTACACACATACACAATATTTCATAGTTTAAAAATTTAAAGACAACAAAGACTCAAAGGACACATGCAATGATGGTATTCTTAATCCTGGATTTAAGTCACCAGTGGTAGTGGTAGCATCTCAAATACACAAATGTAATAGCACTTTTACAGTTATAAATTTTGATACAAAGGCAAGACAGTCTGTTATTATTAAGTCTTTATGTCAATTTAATCTTATAAAGATCCATTCTGAGATCTATAAGAGTCTATCTCTGGGTTCCCCACCCCCATTTGCCTGATACCTCATTTATTCCAGGTACTTAGGACTATAGAAATTATATTGCTCAAGTGTATGTGTGTACATGTGTGTGTGTAACTGTGTCTGTGTGTAACTTTCGAGAGGGCAGACCTAAGTAAGGTCCCTGACAAATCAAGGTTGGGCATTGGTTGGTGTGACAACAGTCATCTACTTTCCATTTCTATTACTGTCTTGGTATTGCTTAGAAGAGCTCCATTCTGGAAATGCTGACCCTCCGTGAAAAGGATGAATTAAAATTTTATTAGGCTCACTTCAGTTTTAATTAACAGAGGATGTTGTTTTTTTAGATCATTTAGATCTATTTTATAAGCTAGTTGCCCAAAAGCTGCTCTACTGGGCACTCATACAAAATAATGTTTTTAAAAGCCCAAATTAAACAGCACAAGAGCAAGCTCCCCAGAAAAGAAAGAAAACAAGCAGTGCTGATCACCATTTGGCTCTCCTATTCGGAATTAGGATCCACGGGGAAAAGAGACCATGCACCTTCTTTTGGAGGCAATGCCCAGGATTTTGTCAGACCCATAGAGAGAGAGAGAGACAGAGAGACAGAGACAGACAGAACACTTAAATTCTTCTTCAATGTAAGAAATTGTCTGTGCCTCTGATAATAACCTCCAAAAGCCTCTATGAAAAAAGTAATTTTTTAAAAAATCACAATTTTTAAAGGAGCGAATGCAGTCAGAACAATAAGGAAGACAAAAGTACAAAATCTAGGGTGTGAAATAAGAATTTACTTCCAAAGTGTAAGTGGCACAATAAGGCGGCACAGGCTAAGCACAAAAGAATTGGAACAGGTCTTCTGAGCTGTAAGAGTTTAAAGTTTGGAATGATGAGAAAAGGCTTCATAAAAGAGGTATGGTGTTTCTGGAACCTTGGCCGCAGCCACCATGGTGGGAAGCGGGCTGAGGATGGCCGGGGGCCTGGAGACCAGCTTGCAGACAACCTCAGACCCGGAGAGGCCAGGCTTGGCAGGCAACTGTCCAGGTGCCCAGACTTCAGTGGCCGCAATGCTGCCATCAGCACAGGGCTGGGTGGGCGGGAGCCGGGAACGGGCCGCAGGAGGCCCAGGACCCTGAGGCTCAGAGAGGACCTTCAAGATGGTGGAGGAGTAAGATGTGGAGATCACCTTCCTCCCCACAAATACATCAAAAATACATCTACATGTGGAATAGCTCCTACAGAACACCTACTGAATGCTGGCAGAAGACCTCAGATTTCCCAAAAGCCAAGAAACTCCCCCACATACCTGGCCATGTGTCTGACAAGGTCTTGGGGCTCCGGCCAGGTGTCAGGCCTGAGCCTCTGAGGTGGGAGAGCCGAGTTCAGGACATTGGACCACCAGAGACCTCCTGGCCCCACA